GGCGATGGTGATCAAGATGTTGATGATAATGGTGATACTGATTATTGTTGTGATGGTGATGGCGAAGGTGACCATGACCATAACGATGACGATGAAGATGACGGGGTTGAGGATGACAATGATGACGATGATCATGACCCTAGCTAGGACTTGAGCGCGCTCGAAGCGCGCGCGATGGCTCTAGTGTTTAGACGTATGTCTGCAAGCATACATACATGAATGCATGCGTGCATGCATGTATGCATGTATGCATGTACGTCTGTCTCCCTGTCTGTCTGCCCGTCTGCCTTGCCTGTCTGTCTGCCTGGCTGTCTGCCTGTCTGTATACATGTATGCATGCATACATGCATGCATGTATGCATGTATGTATGTATGTCTGGGTGTGTTTGTACGTATGTACATAAGTCTGTATACATGTCTGTATGCATACATATACACATATGTATGTATGTATGCATGCATGCATGCATGTATGTATGTATGTATGTATGTATGTATGTATGTATGTATATGCATGCATGCATGCATGTAATGTAATGTAATGTAATGTAATGTAATGAAATGTAATGTAGTGTAATGTAATGTAATGTATGTATGTATGTATGCATGTATGTATGTATGTATGTATGTATGTATATACGTATGTATGTATGTATGTATGTATGTATGTATGTATGTATGTATGTATGTATGTATGTATGTATGTATGTATGTATGTATGTATGTATGTGTATATATATATATATATATAGATATACACGGGCGTACGTACGCACGTATGTATGTATGCATGTAACTATGCAATTTTGTAAACACGTATTCATGTAAGTAGGTGCGTATGTGGGCACGTATGCACATTTGCACATTTATACATCTATATTTATAGAGATAGATACGTATATGTGGGCATGTATTCATGTATGTCTGTGCTCATACATAATTCATGAGTTTGTTTTCGTGTATGCAGATAAACACAAGTTGCTGTGTTCGGCACATTTCGGCAGCATGCTGTGGCTGGATGCCTCTTGGGATGCCCCTCGGAGGCCTCTTAGAGGCCCGTGCAGGGCCTTTTGCAGGCTCCTCGAGAATCTTTGGGAGGCCCGCATGTGATTCGCCTTTTCACCCTGTCGGGCCCCTCTTGGGGCTCCTATTGAAGCCGCTTCGGCCGTTTCGGGGCCCTCTTCGGGCGATCTTGGGGGCCTCTTGGGCTACCTTGGGCGCTCTGAAGCCCGAGCATGCGAGAACGCCGATTTCGAAGCATCTCAGGGAAATCAGCAGTTTTTTCCACTTGGGGCCCTCTCGAGGTGTCTTGGCGCGCTCTTGGGCTTTTCAGGGCCCTCTTCGAATGTCTTGGTCCGCCCGCCCGTCCGTGGGTCCCTCCTGGGACACTGTCAGTCCCATCTTGGGTCTCCCTGACCTTGGCAAGCACCAAGTGAGACACCCAAAATGTCAGGTGGAACGCCACGTCCCTGGGGATCCCGGGCTGCCTAAGGAGTACCAGTGCTGTTCAAGTAAGAGAACACAGGCATGACATGACTCCACTTAGTGCCTACGGCACGGTGGCCTGCTCATACACATCTATATTTATTTACATATATATACATATTTAAAACATAATTATTTCGAGAGATACTGGGCTACAATGTGCCAGTGTGTGTATATGTACATACACCTCCACGTCTTTAGGTACACTACGTGGACGCGTGGACACGCGTATACATGTCAGTATCTATGTACACACATGCCCACGAAAACACATACATCTACACACGACACATATGTATATAGTGTGTGTATATATGTGTGTGTATGTATGATACAATGTGTATATATACATACAAGACTGCATGGGCGCTTCGTGCCGTGCAAGTAGGTCCCTGAAGTCTGGCATGCAGGCTGACCGGCAGGCCGGCAAAGCCAGACGATTCAGCGATTAACTCCCTGTTGCCTTTCCCGGCACCGCCGCTATGTCCTTCCCTCAGGTTTCCTCTTCCTCTTCCTCTTCCTCCTCCTTCCCTCATGTTTCCTCTTCCTCCTGCGATCCTCCTCCTCCTCCTCATGTTTCCTCATGCGATCCTCCTCCTCCTCCTTCCCTCATGTTTCCTCTTCCTCTTCCTCTTCCTCATTGTCGCTCTACCCCGCGAATCCCTGCGAATTCTTTCCCCACCCTCCCGAGTGGTTTTTGCGGGGGTTCCTCCGTGGAGAGCCTTTTGGGGGCCTCACGCATTCTTTGAGGGCCTCTTGGTGCCCTCTGGAGGCCTCCTGGGCGCCTTCTGGGGGTCACCCTGATTCCAATCGTGGTCTCCCTGAACGGCCGGGTCACGATTTGGAATGCGGGGGGCGTCTTGGGGCCACTTTGGGCCGTCATGGGGCTCTCTTCGGGCCATCTTGGAACCTTGTTATGCCGTCTTGGGGCTGTCTTGGACTGCCTGGCAGTCGGCCTGGCAGCCCTTCACCACTTACTTACGTCAACGTAGACCAGACCTCCACCGACCGCCCACGCAAGCCCATTCGAAAGGACAACCGAACGACATCACATGGACGCAAACAGCCCAAGACACCGAAGCATAGACAGCGCTCGAGCACCACTTCACCGACCTCACGTCGACCAGCACCCAGTACTCAGACCAATGACGTAATCTCGCCCAAACCGCGCCGACACCGACACCAAGGACTTTTTTTCCTCCTCCTGCCCCTCTCCTCCTAACTTTTTTACATGTCTTGCATTGCGTGAATCCAGACACCTCAGATCCTAGAGGCCATGGCCTCATCCACCTGGTCTGCTCTAGGCCCGGACGCTGTCCGCAACGGTGGTCGCATCGCATCGCATCGGGGGAGATCTTCGGGCCTCCTGGGCGGTCTCGGACGCCCAGAAGACCGAAGAACTGAACATTCCCGAAATCATTCAACAACTATTGACAATCAATTTTTCTCTGCGTTTAGAGAGCCTCTTGGAGGCCTTCTCTGGGGAGTTTTCGGGCGTCTGGTGGGTGTCTGGGGATTCTTGGGATCCTCGAGGGGCCGTTCGGCCGCCCTTCGACTGATTTGGGCCCGTTGCATGGGCCTACCAGGAGCTTCCAGGAGCTCCGGAAAGCTTGGGGGGCCTCCTGCAGGGGCGTCCAGGGGGCCCCTGGGACCACGGATCCGTGGGGTACCGTTTCCAGGGTTTCCGCAGGGTCCCGATCCGCGGGGTCCCCTTTCGGGGGGGCGCGGATTTTTTGGGGGAGGTGGGGGGGCAGGTTTTCCGAAGGGTCCGGATGAATAGAAATATATGGGGGGGAATGTACATATACATATAGCTCTCTCTATTCAGACAAATATGCATACATATTTCCAATTTTCATTTCCGGTCTACACACGTACATACATACACAACATATATATATGTATATGTGTTAATTTCTCTCTCTCTCTATATATATGTATCTAGATCTCTCTCTATATATGTATTATATTCACATGGTGTGCGCAGACATATACACGTGTACACACATATACCGACACACACACTCACATATATATATATATATATATATATATATTTTTATATATATATATATCAAACTATGTATTTAATATATAGTTTTTTTGTATGTATGTGTATACATGTATATACATCGATATATGCATATATATATATATATATATATATATATACATATATGTAGTATATACTTATAATTATATTCATATGTATATATATATATATGTATATATATATACATAGATATATGTTTGTACACACAAATATATCTAGCTGCCTACGGCAAGTCCCGCCACCGTGCCAGGGTTGTGGGTATGATACCTATGGGGTGTTCGTTGGGATCTCGGGGCAGGCCTCTCGGGGGCCTCTCAGAGGCAGTTTTGAGGCCCTTGGGGCCGTTTTGGGGCCCCTTTTGGGCCTCTTGGGGGCCTCCTGGGAGCCCCTTGAGGCCTCTTGGGGGCCTCTTGGGGGCCTCTTGGGGCCTCGTGGGGTCCTCTTGGGGCGGAAGGCCCGGATTTTCGATTCGCGTTCCCACTCTTGGGCCCGTTGTGGGGCCGTCCTCGGGCTCTCCTGGGTGGGGCGCTCTTGTGCAGTCTTGGGACCCTCCTGGAGGCCTCTTGAGCCGTCGTGGGGTGGTCTTGGGGGCCTCTTGGGCCGTCCTGGAGCGGCGGAGGGCCGAAGAGGCTAGAGCCTCCAGAAATCCATCAAAAAACCTAAGGCACAGCAATGGTTTTTGATGGTTTTTGCCTCCTGGGTGGGGCCTCTTTGGAGGCCTCTTGGAGGAATGCTGGGGCGTCTTGGAGGCGTCTTGGGCCATCTTGAAGCAATCTTGGGCGTCTTCGAGCGATCGTTCGGCGACTCGGGACCCTCTTGGACCGTCTTGGGGGCATCCCGGGCCGTCAAGGAAGCCTTGGAGAACCCCAGGGAGGCGCCATGGCCTTCAGGGACTGGAGCAGGGCCGCTGCGCGCGGCGAGGTGCGGCGGGGAGAGCGAGGCTCCCTTAGAAGATTACAGAGTCCCTACCAAACAGCACTTGGCATTCTACCACGCCTCAACGTGCCAGGGGGCACGGTGGCGGATACGTATATCCATCTTCGTATACCTTTTGTATACATGCATGCATGTGTACAACGCCCGGACGAAAGTTTCTTTCAATTTGCCTTTTGGAATGACGCGCTCGTGCGGAGTAGTTCGGAGTAGTTTTACTAAAACTACTCCGCGCGCAATCGCATCCCGCTCGGTAATTTATATGGTTTGGCGCGGAGTAGTTTCCGATCCCGTTTTGGGGTAACAGAGTTATTAACGTCCCCGGGATCGGAAACTACTCCGCCGAATTACCCAGCATCATGTCATGTTAGGAATCTTGAGAGGGATAGGAGAGATATTCATCATAGCAAATTGAAGAAACTTTTGTCACGGATGCGTATATGGCGAACGAGAGAGGGAGAGAGAGATAGAGAGAGACAGTCAGAGAAAGAGAGAGAGAGAGAGAGAAAGCGAGATGGAGGGCTGGGAGGATTTGTTCCACACTCAGGAGGGCGACGACCAGAAGGGCTGGCCAGAAGGAAAGGCCGAGGATGCCCTGCCCGCCGGCTGCCGTGGCCAAGCGGGTGCCCTGTAAGGCTCGTTTGACGGCTCTGGAATTCACCTGCGGTGATATGTCAAAGCCAGCTTCTGATGTCCGTCGCGACGACCGCTCTAAGGACATTGATGCAGGCGGCCTTTGGGGGTGGGTCTGGTATGTGTGAATGTGTGTGGAGATCCTTCTTTTAGGCCTGTCACAGTGCTATGGCGCTGTTTCTGGGCCCTCTTGGAAGCGTTTCGGGTAGTCTGGGGGCAGGCTTGGTTCGTCCGAGTGTATTTTTGGAACTGCTTCGCGGCACTCTTGGGCGCAGAAGCGGGACAAGCAGCGTATAGAGTGGCGAATTGCACGAAGAGGTTCTGTGATGGGGTTTGTACAGCCTTTGCCGCTGGCCCACGTTTTTGATTGTCTGGATCGCTGGTTGTCTGGGAGGCACACTGGTTGGCTGACTCGTCGATTGGCTTGCAGTTTGGCAGCTCGGCTGGTCGGCTGTTTCACTCACTGTCTGTCTGGTCTGCTGGTCGCTGGTCGGCTAATTGTATTTCTAGCTAGTCCTTTGGTTGTTTGGCTGACAGGTTGGCTTATTGGCTAGCCGGTTGACTGTTTGAGTGTATTTCTCTATGGGGGAACAACATCGGGGGAAGGGACGGGACCAGGACGTATTTTACGATGGATGGGGGCCTTAGGAGCGCGGGTCCGTAGTTTTGTGCGACGGATCGTGGCTATGGCAATGCGGACCAATATTGTTTTCCAATTGATCGTGGTTTTGGAACCGATTTTCTTTTACAAGGGAGAGTGACTGCGCGAGCGCGGATAGTTTATGTGCAAGGGATCGTGATTGCGCGAGCGCGAACCAATCGCATAGACGGATAGTGGCTTTGGGGGTGCGGGCCACAATTGTTGAGTCCACAGAGCGGGAGTCACGGTGTGCTCCCATAAGAAATTCGCACGCAGATTGTGCAAGTAGTGCGTTTTCGAGGTATGTTGTCGGGGGGGCTGCGATCGGCGAAGCTGTCGCCACTTTCGAGGGCTGCTGGTGGGTCCAGCGGAGTGAGGCACCGCGCAGATCTGAGCGAGACTTCGCCGTTCCGGGGGGGCTGCGATCTGCGACATTGTCGCCACTTTCGAGGGCTGCTGGTGGGTCCAGCGGAGTGAAGCACCGCGCAGATCTGAGCGAAACCTCGCCGTCCCTGGGGGGCTGCGATCTGCGAAATTGTCGCCACATTCGAGAGCTGCTGGTGGGTCCAGCGGAGTGAGGCACCGCGCAGATCTGAGCGAGACCTCGCCGTCCCTGGGGTGGGGGTGGGGGGGGGGCTGCGATCTGTGAAATTGTCGCCACTTTCGAGGGCTGCTGGTGGGTCCAGTGGGGTGAGGCACCGCGCAGATCTGAGCGAGACCTCGCCGTCCCTGGGGGGCTGCGATCTGCAAAGCTGTCGCCACTTTCGAGGGCTGCTGGTGGGTCCAGCGGAGTGAGGCACCGCGCAGATCTGAGCCAAGCCTCGCCGTCCCTGGGGGGCTGCGATCTGCGAAATTGTCGCCTCTTTCGAGGGCTGCTGGTGGGTCCAGTGTAGTGAGGCACCGCGCAGATCTGAGCGAGACCTCGCCGTCCCCAGGGGGGGGGGTCTGCGATCTGCGATTTTTTCTACATTTTCGAGGGCTGGTGGTGGGTCCAGCGGAGTGAGGCACCGCGCAGATCTGAGCGAGACCTCGCCGTCCCTGGGGGGGGGGGGGCTGCGATCGGCGAAGCTGTCGCCACATTCGAGGGCTGCTGGTGGGTCCAGCGGAGTGATGCACCGCGCAGATCTGAGCGAGACTTCGCCGTCCCTGGGGGGGGGCTGCGACCTGCGACATTGTCGCCACTTTCGAGGGCTGCTGGTGGGTCCATCGGAGTGAGGCTTTGCGCAGATCTGAGCGAGACCTCGCCGTCCCTGGGGGGGGGGGCTAAGATCTGCGAAGCTGTCGCCACATTCGAGGGCTGCTGGTGGGTCCAGCGGAGTGAGGCACCGCGCAGATCTGAGCCAAACCTCGCCGTCCCTGGGGGGCTGCGACCTGTGACATTGTCGCCACTTTTGAGGGCTGCTGGTGGGTCCAGCGGAGTGAGGCACCGCGCAAATCTGATCGAGACCTTGACGTCCACAGGGGGGGGGAGGGAGCTGCGATCGGCGAAGCTGTCGCCACTTTCTCGAGGGCTGCTGGTGGGTCCAGCGGAGTGGGGCACCGCGCAGATCTGAGAGAGACCTCGCCGTCCCTGGGGGGCTGCGATCTGCGACATTGTCGCCACTTTGGAGGGCTGCTGGTGGGTCCAGCGGAGTGAGGCACCGCGCAGATCTGAGCCAAACCTCGCAGTCCCTGGGGGGTTGGGGTAGGGGGGGCTGCGATCTGCGAAATTGTCGCCATTTTCGAGGGCTGCTGGTGGGTCCAGCGGAGTGCACCGCGCAGATCTGAGCCAAACCTCGCCGTCCCTGGGGGGTTGGGGGGGGGGCTGCGATCTGCGAAATTGTCGCCACTTTCGAGGGCTGCTGGTGGGTCCAGCGGAGTGAGGCACCGCGCAGATCTGAGCCAAGCCTCGCCGTCTCTGGGGGGCTGCGATCTGCGAAATTGTCGCCTCTTTCGAGGGCTGCTGGTGGGTCCAGTGGAGTGAGGCACCGCGCAGATCTGAGCGAGACCTCGCCGTCCCCAGGGGGGGGCTGCGATCTGCGATTTTTTCTACACTTTCGAGGGCTGCTGGTGGGTCCAGCGGAGTGAGGCACCGCGCAGATCTGAGCGAGACCTCGCCGTCCCTGGGGGGGGGGCTGCGATCTGCGAAGGTGTCGCCTCTTTCGATGGCTGCTGGTGGGTCCAGCGGAGTGATGCACCGCGCAGATCTGAGCGAGACTTCGCCATCCCTGGGGGGGCTGCGATCGGCGCAATTGTCGCCACTTTCGAGGGCTGCTGGTGGGTCCAGCGGAGTGAGGCTTTCCGCAGATCTGAGCGAGACCTCGCCGTCCCTGGGGGGCTGCGATCTGCGAATTTGTCTCACTTTCGAGGGCTGCTGGTGGGTCCAGCGGAGTGAGGCACCGCGCAAATCTGATCGAGACCTTGACGTCCACAGGGGGGGCTAAGATCTGCGAAGCTGTCGCCACATTCGAGGGCTGCTGGTGGGTCCAGCGGAGTGAGGCACCGCGCAGATCTGAGCGAGACCTCGCCGTCCCTGGGGGGCTGCGACCTGCGACATTGTCGCCACTTTTGAGGGCTGCTGGTGGGTCCAGCGGAGTGAGGCACCGCGCAAATCTGATCGAGACCTTGCCGTCCACAGGGGGGGGGAGGGGGCTGCGATCGGCGAAGCTGTCGCCACTTTCGAGGGCTGCTGGTGGGTCCAGCGGAGTGGGGCACCGCGCAGATCTGAGCCAAACCTCGCCGTCCCTGGGGGGTTGGGGTGGGGGGGCTGCGATCTGCGACATTGTCGCCACTTTCGAGGGCTGCTGGTGGGTCCAGTGGGGTGAGGCACCGCGCAGATCTGAGCCAAACCTCGCCGTCCCTGGGGGGTTGGGGTGGGGGGGGGCTGCGATCTGCGAAATTGTCGCCACTTTCGAGGGCTGCTGGTTGGTCCAGTGGGGTGAGGCACCGCGCAGATCTGAGCCAAACCTCGCCGTCCCTGGGGGGCTGCGATCTGCGAAATTGTCGCCACTTTCGAAGGCTGCTGGTGGGTCCAGCGGAGTGAGGCACGGTGCAGATCTGAGCGGGAGCTCGCCGTCCTTGGGGGGCTGCGATCTGCGGAGCTGTCGCCACTTTCGAGGGCTGCTGGTGGGTCCAGCGGAGTGAGGCACCACGCAGATCTACCGGGACCTCGCCATCCCTGTGGGGCTGCGAGCCTCACGAATGCCGTTCGCAGAATTCAATGCGCCCATATCACGTCATCACCTCTGTATAACGTGTCCCAGGCTACCCGTGCCCCGCATTGCGCAGGGGTTGGGTACGTCGCCAGGGTAATCTCTCAGGGCCACCTTGGCGCCCGACGGGGGGCAGGCGGTCATAGGAGCCAACATATGGCCTTTTGGGGTCCATGGGCCACGGAGTGCGTGCAGGGTGTGCCGAATCGGAGCTCCCTTGACCCGTCTGAAGGGTCAGCTGAGGGCCTCTGGGAGTCCATGAGACACGATATTCGCGAGGCGTCTACCGCATTGAGGCTCCCTTCACCGTGGATCGCCCATGGAGTTCCACGGGACATGGAACGGTTGAGTTCCCAAGGAGCCGTCTCAGGGGCCAGCAGGGCACCCGTGATGCACCAACTACATGAAGGGTGCGCCGAGTGGCTCTCAGGATAGTCTGCGTGCAACTCCCTAGTGTTTCATGTGCCTCGGAGACCTGGGGGCGCAGGAGCTGCGTGAGTGGGGTGTCGAATTGAGGCCCTCGTGGCCCTGGGGGCACAGACCATTTGCATGTTTTGCATGTCCCAGGATGACATACCAAGATTAGCGGACGGAATGCGCGAAACTCTTTTTAGCACACATTTACTCATGCATCTCGCCATCCTCCGTGTCATCATCATTTTCGCATCTACCCTCTTGGGTCAACACGGCTGGGGCCCGCAGAGGGCCAGCCGAATTCGGTGGCCCCCTTGCGGGCCCTCGCCGTGTTAGACTTCGAGACAAGCTTATGATATTCAGGATGATGGAGAAGAGTGAGGATGCGTACGTAAAGGCATGCTAGGAGCGGCTTCGCGCATTCAGCCGGCCAACTCCATTAGTCCTCAGGGGGGCACGTGGAAAATACAAGTGAAATGTCCCCCCATCTCTCGGCCCACGCGCGTGACAGCTCCTGGGATACGTCAAACACACAAGCGAGATGCAGCCTCTGGGCTGCTAGAGCCTGATTTCGTTACACCTCTCACGCATTTTCTGTCTGGCAATGTTCTGCGACGCGTGCAAATGCGAGTGAGCAACCCCTTATGGCTACGAAACTTCCATCTCGGCACGCCTCTCACGCATCTCGTCTGAGACACGTGAAACTACGAGAAACTACGAGTGATCTGCGCTCCGAGGGCCACGAATAGCTCAATCCTACACTCCCCTCGCGCATTTCTTTCCCACACTCTACTGGGGCACGTGCAGATACGCGTGATCTGCGCTCTCAGACTCTTGGGACACGTACGCAACTAGTGATTTGAACCTCGAGGCTCTTGGGCGACGTACAAATAAGAGTGAATGTTCTTCCATTTCGATGGAACCTCAATTCGGCACACCCCTCACGCACTTCGTGAATGTTGGGCGCTCAGCTGGCCCCCGTGAAGGCTCTTTGGAACCTCAATTCGGCACACCCCTCATGCACGTCGTGCCCTATTCCCAAAGGGCCTTTAGCTGGCCTCCAAGACCGCTTAAACCCCAAAGGGGCGGAAGTACGCCCCAAAGAAAATTGCAACAGTTGGTCCCGACCCTCGTCGAAGCAGTATTCACAATACCCCCTGATGGGAAGATCGGCGTGCAAGCTTTCCCCGGGGGAAATTCGCACGCAGATTTCACATTTTGTGGGTCTTTAGTATGGCTTCGACGTGGGTCGGTACCGCTCGTTACAACTGTTCCCGGGCCATCTTAGCGTCCCTGGGGAAGGGGGGGGGGGGCAGGCGGCTTTAGGATCCAACAGATGGCCTCTGGGGTCCATGGGCCACGAAGTGCGTGAGGGGTGCGCCAAGTCGAGGCTCCTCTGAACAGTCTGAAGGATCAGCCGAGTGCCCCTGGGAGTCCATGGCGCACGGCGTGCGTACGGGTTTGCTCCGAGTTGAGACTCCGTTCGGCCGTCTTGAGGGCCGGCTACTCCCCCCCGGAGGAGGGATCAAAGGGAAGGGCCTTCCTTTTGACGCGATTGCGACGTAGCCCGATTTCCATCGGGCAGGTGGTCCTGAGGAAGAGGGCCCAGTGTGGCCACAGGGGAACAGGACGCTTCGAATGAGAACGTGAATGTTGCAGGTTTCGTTTCAGACGGAGCAAGGGAACGGAGGAGGTTCGACGTTGGCTTGGCCCGTCTGCCGTTGCAAGCGTGGTAGCGGAGTCTTCTTTGGTTCGGACGCCTGCTGGATTACCTTCCGTCGACTCCTCGCCACACAGCAGTACTCCACTGTTACGTGTCGCAGTACTCTCCAGAGATACCGTGCTTCCCATCGCGAGCCGACGAACAGTCCAAATGCCGTCCCCTGGCAGCCCCAACCAGGTCTTCCTCGCAAGGGACGGTGGTACAATGTCAGTGCCGTGTGCTTGGAGATGACTTGAAAGCTGGTGGAATCGAGTCGTTCGGTTAGGACCCCCAGTGTAAGACGAGCAGCGCGCGAACAGCAGTTCCCCTTCCGCTCTAATCCCCTGCATCGTGGCTCGTGGCGCCTCCTCTGGCTACCCCTGTCCTCTCAACCAACCCCCAAAGAGGCCAGTGTGGAGCCCTTGCAGCAAAACTCTGATTCCTCGCAGCCCACGAGCCTAAGACCAAGCCTTCTCTCTCGCAGGGTACTCTGGCAAGGCTCGCTCCTGGGAGAGCACAGCGCCGTCTCCCCAGGAGACCTTCCGCAAGCAGTTCAATTTCTTCCAGGGAAGATATCTCTCCAGGGTGGGAGCTTGCCTTGTCTTCGCGCCGTGCTGAACTCGATATTTGCTATCCTCTTGATCCGCTTTCGAGTCACAGTCATTCCTCTCGTCGCCCTCGTCATCCTGCTTGCAGCTGTGCTGGCCTTCTCTAGTGCCCGTGATTAGTGGTAGCGCCACGTTACTTACTTAGATGGCAGCAGAAATTGTTCTCGCGATTGTGGGGCCGCATCCTTAAGAGGCCAATGCGTAGACATGTTCCGTTTTTTTGTTTAGATTCGCGCCTTTCTCGCGGTCTCTGGCACTCGGTAATCTTGTGCTTTCTTTGCTTGTTTGTTTCTTTGTTTATTTGATAGTTGGTTTCATTATTGTTTTTCTTGTGCGTGTGTGTACAGTTATGCTCCCCATTGTCAGGCGACCCTGCACGGACAGCTGCGCCGTCTCCGCGCTGCGCCTGCAGCGGGCCGCGATGCGAAGCTGTCGTGCTCGTCTACTCTTCCGGCATGGTGTCCAGCTTTCGTCCTCCCATGCGCACGAGCCACCTCGCAGCTGCGCATTGAGCTGCTGGCCTCGACCGTCTACCGCCACAGCTCTTGCGTGCTGTGCTGCCCTGGCTGCCCAGCGTCACACCCTGAGGGCCGAGAGGAAGAGCTTCGTGCACGTTTTGTTCCGGCCTTTCCGCGGGAGCTGTGCTTCGTGCGCCTCGACACCCGCATGGCCGTTCGGCGCTTTCCGCGCGCATCCGCAGATCCCGCGCTTCTCTGCACGCGTCTGCTTTCAGACAGACCCACTGCCTTCGACGTCAGGTGGTAATTCAACGAACCGTGGCCCGCAGCAGTGTTCGCTGTGACGCTGTCGTCTGGCCGTTGGAGAAAAAGTTTTCGTGTGTCATCGGGGTTGGACTGTCTCGGTGGTCGTAGGCAGCGTGGGGACATTGACCGGCGTCCTTCTGTCGTCGTGGGATTGTACAGCATATTGCGTTGTGTGTGTGTGTGTGCGTGTGTGTGTGCGTGTGCGTGTGTGTGTGTGTGTGTGTGTGTGTGTGTGTGCGTGGAAGCGTTGGCCATGCACTGTGGCCATGCACTGTGGCCTTTTGTAGGTCCAATTGAGTAGGATAGCGCTCCACCGTGTGTCAAAGCTCGTCCGCGTCGTATCCAGAGCTATCGTAGGTATTGAAATTACGACTTGGAAATTCTGCTTCAATTAATTGCTTCGCTCATTCTGTTGGCCCATTTCGCATCACTATTGGCGGGTGGTTCTGCAAAATGGTTCAAGAGAGCTGCGCCAGAGTTTCGAGACCCGCCCAGACACTTTAATAGGGGAAAGCTCGATATGTCGGGTCGAATTTCCCCTCTGGGGGCGCTCGCAGGAGCTTCGGGAGCCCTCCGGGGAAACCTCTTGGGCTGTCTTGTGGGTCTTCTTGGCCGTCCCGGACTCGTCCTCGGGGTCTCTTGGTTGTCTTGGGACGATTTGGTGGCCTCCTGGGCTGTCAGTGGCAGCCAGCAACGCGAAAAAGCGGCACCGCCAACATCGTCCGAAATTCTTGGCGATGTCTTTGGGGACCACGTGGGTGCTCGTAAATGCCAGGCTTCGGCGCGCTGAGGGCCCTTGCTACCTGGCCCGGTGGCGGCGCTCTGCGCGGCCTTGGCGGCGGCGGGCCTTGGCGTTCTGCGGGCGCTGGTGCGCGAAGCCGTGGCCGAGGCGGCGCGTGTGGCCGAGGCGGCGCGTGTGGCGTTCGCAGGGCACTGCAGTGCCCCCCTGCCTGCCACCAGGCGCCGTGCGCGCTCTGCCCAGGCTGCCCGGCGCGCGTGTGTGCTGCTGGCGGTGGTTTCGGACCCGGCGGAAGCGCCTGTGGAGGTGGCTGCCCTGGCTGGCTGCCCTGGCAGTGGCCATCATTACTGGGCGCTGGAACGTGTCGACGGAGGCGCCGCCGCGTGCGGCCGTGCCGCAATATGTCGACACGCAACGAGAGATGGCCGAGAACCCGCCTGCTGGTGCAGTTCGACGACGATGAGTGGACTCATGAACGGTTGTTGCTCTGGGACAGATGATGCTGGAGGGCACGGAGCTGGCTTGAGAGGTGCGACGGGTTCGACGTCTTCCAGCCGCGCGGGGGGCCCACCTCGGCGCGGACCCCGACGGCGTGGAGGATTGGCACGGCGGCGAGTGCGGCCTGGACTTCGGTGTGCTGGAGGGTGCCCGGCGCCGCTTGAGGGGCAAACGGTCCCTGGCCGTGGCCCCCCGTCTCCCCAAGTTCCTGGGGGCGAGGCGGCCAGCCGCCCGACGCTGGGCCCGCCGCCGTTGGCCGACTCGGACTCGGTGTTGCTGGTGGCGGAGGTGGTGGCGGGCGGCGGCTACTGGCTGGGCGACGAGGTGGCGCCCGGCCCCCGCCATGTGGGGGCGGCGGGCTGACGGCCACCCCGTCCTCTGCGAGCGCGTGCCGGCCAGCGAGGTCATGGACTGGCGGCCCCAGGCCCTTGGCAGTGCTGGGCGCGCGGGCGACCCCCTACTGCTTCCCGCCAGCCGAGGGGTCGCAGCCCCGCCTTGCCGACCTCCGCGAGGCGCTTGCCGATCGACTTCGCGAGGCGTGGAGGGCGCGCCCGCGCCGCGTGGCGTGGAGGTTGGCCTCCTTGCGGGTTGCGTGCGCGCAGTCACCGTGGAGTGGAACGATCAAGGCGTTCGCTCCAAGGAGTGGCGTTGCGCCGCGGGCGAGAGCAGCGTGGAGGCCCCGGGCGGTTGCGAGCTGCGCGGGGCCAGCTTTGCCCTGCGCACGCAGCATGGCAGAGACCGCAAAACGTGGATGAACGATTTCTGCCGGGAGTGCGGAGTGAGCCAGCGAGATCGGGCATGGCGCGAGCTGCGTTGCCTGGTGACGACCTTCTGGCAGGCCGGGAGCTCCGACGCCCTGAACCATGGCGGCCTGGCCTGCCTGGAGATGGTGGCGCGTCGAGTGGCTCAGATCAGCGAGGCCCGCCGCGTGGCGCCCAGGCAGCTGGCCGCGTGGGGGGCCGGCAGGTTCTTGACGGGTGCGAGCGACCCTTTCGACGTGGCGTCGCCCGAGCTCCGCAACTTCGCGCGAATTGGGCTGCCCGCAACGAAGCCGAGCGCTTTTCGGCCCTGGGTTGCAGCCGGGCGCTGGGGCCGTGCAGCTCGGCCCTGTATGGGCCCTGTCTTGAAGCGCAAGCGGCAGGTCTCCGCCAGGCTGGTGAGGCGCCTGCCGAGGGTCGGCGTGGCGTTTGCCGAGGGTCGGTCATTTCGACGGCGCGGCGCTTGCGTTTCTGCGAGGCACGAACGGGGAGCGACGTTGTTGCGCGAGCGCCAGCGTGGCACAGCAGCGTCATGGCTGCGCTGCGGGAGGGCGGCTCAAGCCCGCCCACGCGCGCCTGGCGGCGGCGGCGTTGGCGGCGCCGTCGTGTTTCGCCCACTGTTTGGCGCGTGCATGACCTGTGTGGGGGAGCGAGCTGGTTTGTGGCCTTTCAAGTTTATAACCTAATATGCGATAATCTAGTGAACCGTATCGTATTGCATGTACACGATATCGTATAATATTTTTGAGCTTCGGGTTTGATCGCGAAGCGGGGCCCTCAGTCGGGCCCGCTCATGCCCTGTGAGCTTCAGTGGCGAATCTCCAGGGCCTCGCTGGCAACCAAACACGGTTTTCGCCGAGTGTGCGGAGCTCTCTTTGGCCCTGGGGCCCTCCGTGGTTTTCCGTGCCGCGACGGCGTGCATCCTCTGGCACCCGCATGCGAATCTCATTTGTTCAGACTGCATCCGCGGCTTCTCCCGCGCCTCCCTCCGTTCCCCTCGCGTCCGCTTCGCGCTTTTGCGTCGTCTCTGGAGTGGCTTTCTGGTGCCCGACCGCCGCGTGAGTCTCTCGGCCGCGCGCCAAACAACGTTTGTCGGTGCTTTTCGTCGTCGTCCGTCCTCGGCCCCACCCCGCCGCTTGGCGCTGCCCTCCCCTCCCTCTACGCCTCGCCGCTCCGTCGTGCAAGAACCATGGCGCATGTGCCATTTGCTTCTCGTCCTTCCTTCGTTGAGATTTCGAGCGAGATTGAGCATGTGCGGCTTCCTGCCCCCTCTGGTCGTTTGGCGCCTTGAGCGGGCCGTTGATTGTTCAGGGGCCGTTTTCGGCGCCTCGTCGGGCCGTCTTGAGGCGTGTCCGAGGGCCCGTCCATCGGCTGCGGGAGGTGGTTCACGGGGGGCGCCGCAGAGCCTCCCTCCAGAGGGCATGAGAGGGAAGTGGCCTCAGGCGATCTCGGACTCCTTCTGGAGCGTTTGGAGGCGGCGTCGTAAGGTCTGAGGCGGCTGGGAGACGTTCGGCGGACAACCGCGATGCGACAGATTTTGGCAATGCGATGCAGGAAATCCTCCGCAAGAAGACTGGCAACGACCTGGGCGGGCTTCCCGCCCGACCCGCCAACTGACTACCCGCGGCCCGCCGGGTGTTGTCGGGGGCGCGAGCGCGACGGCGACTGCCGCGCGGCTGCGAACAGGCTGACGGCTGGATGCCAGAGTCCAAAGCGTTCCGCCGACGTGGAGCCATGTCAGTGCGCAGTGATTAGACAGGACGACAAGCAGCTCCTGGGCGAGCAAAATGTTTACATGGGTCCAGGGGGACGTGCGGCTACGATATCCTAGTCGAATGAGCTGTGGCATGCCCTGGTGTGATTGCCTCGGTGTGCCGCTTGTATTCGAAGATTCGCATCGGGACTTTGGCTGCGCGCGCACTCTTGCGCTGAACAATGCGGGGGAGGGGCGTTTGTATCAACGGCGTGGCTCGGCGCGACCGGCCTCTGCCACGGCGCGCCCCCGAATTTGCAGAGCCGCGAAGGGCTCCGCGCTGGCAGAAATGCCGGGGCCGCGGGGATGCGCAAGCGGGCCCAGGCCCAAAGCGCACGCGTTGACCACCGATGTAGTGTCTTTCCTGCGAGCTGCCAGCGCCCATCCGTGGCGCCTTGCCTGAAAGCCTTTCGTTTTCATTTGTGCTGAGCTCGGGGTCAGCCTGAGCAGGCCCAGGAGTCAACC